TGTATCTCTCTCACAGCAATGTTTCTCTCTCTTTTTCTCCCTTCCTCCTGCTACTCTAAAAATCAATGGAAAAATATCTTTGGGTGAAGATTAACCCCCCCCAAAATCAAATAAGGTTATAGAAGTAGACAAAAGGTGACCTAAAACCAAATATTAAGTGACAGCTTATTCACTGGTAATAGCAAGTAGGAAAGCTTACAAATTTCCAGAGAAAGTAAGCAACACAATGAGTTCAATTTGTGTACCCAAATTTTATTTTCACAATGTGTGGAAGGTATCCCATTCAGTGTCATGAGTCTTGGTGCAATGTCTAAGCAGAAGGGACAGATCACATGTCCCTTCTCCATGGATTCATGGAATGCTCTTCAAAGCACAAAACACATGAGAGTTTACTGTACATGTCTTCAGTGGCACCAACATTAAAAGTTACCAATGGGGGAAAAATTGTCTTTAAATTCTAGTAATATTTCTCATTGGCTTTTCTCACAGGTGTCATCTTTTTATTGTGAGGTAATATTTTAGGTATGATTTAGAAGTATGTGATCTTTTATAAAAATATTTTTTAAGCAGAGGAGTAGCATATCTTAGGAAACCAGCTTTGTTTCCCAATTTTATAAAATCATAAGGAATCAAATTTATAGTTTAACTTTTCTGTATATTGATCATCTAACCGAAAACTAAAGTCCTTGATAGACTGAAGACCTAAATGTGGATGGCAAAAAATTTAAAGAAAACTATAAATTTCTCAGAAGAAAATATCTTCATATCTGTAGGGTAGGAAAATACTGATAAATTGTACTACATGAAAATCACTAAGTTTTGATCAAAGGTACCATAAAGAGAGTGAAAGACAAACCATAGAGTAGGAGAAGATATTTGTAACACAAACAAGGAGATAATTAATATCCATAATATATAAATAATTTCTTACAAATCAATAAGGAAAAGGTAGAAAACTCAATTTAAAAAATGAGGAAGACTTGAACATGCACTTAAAAAAAAAAAAAAACCTGAATAGGACACCAATAAGCATATGCAGGTGATCAGGTTGGCAAAAAAAAGAAAGTCCAATTATACCAAGGACTGATGAAGTAGTACAGCACTGGACTACCAAATGCTGAAAGTAGTGTAGACAAACACAATCAATTCTAAAAAACAGTTTAGCATGATCCAGTCATCAAGTACAGTATCTATCCCATGGAAATGTGTTTACGAGCACCAGGATTCACGTATAAGAAGGATACAGCAGCACTGCTTGCAAGAGCCAAAAACTGTGAACAACTTCAGAGATTTTCAAAAGCAGAATGGACAAATGAATTGTGATATAACCCTATAGTGAAAATGAATGACTACAGCTACACACAATATGGAGGACCCTTACAAATACCATCTTGAATGTTAAAGCAGCAAAACTACACATAAAATAATTCTATTTCTATAAAATTCAGAAACAGGCTCTACTAAATTATATTTTTCAAGGAGGTATACTTATGTATTAAAACTACAAAGAAAAAAAAACTATTCTCGTAAGAGTCAGGATAGTAGTTACCTCTGGAGAAAGAACGAGAGTGACTTCTGGGGTGCTGGCCAAACCTATTTCTAACATTTACAGGCAACAGTACAAACAGAGGTCCATATACCAATATGACAGCTTACAAACTATGAAATAAAATATGTTCCACTCTCCTATCACGACAAATATGCCTTTATCTGCCTAGAAGACGAAATTCATACTGAGAATTTCTAGATGCTTAGAGTTCCATGTGGAAACCTGATGGTGCAGGGAAAACTGGCCACTAGCCCACTTCCACAGCCCCCTTCTCTACCCCATATTGCCAAGGAGCTCGCACCCAAGCACACCATCACCTCCATTCACAAGTCCAAGCTCTATCCCATTACTACTCCCTGTAAACAGCCACCCTTAGGCCATTCCATGGGCCTAGGGGTGTATATACCAGCAGCTCAGCCTACCCTCAGAAAGATGGACCCCAGGAAGAGACTTACACAAGCTCTAGGCCATTTGGGCACGAAATTCTGAGATCCTAGGTACTCAAAAGCATGGTCTAGGGTGGAAGGATTCAGGCTCCAAGTGGGCATGTCCCAGAGGCCTCACAGACTCCTTGCCCCATGGAAAAGAGCCAAAGCAGGGCCCTCTAAAGCACAGGGCCAGGACAGGGATCCCTCTTGGCAGGAACAGGATTTCCTTAGAATCAGGCAACACATTTCTTAACCTACACAGCAGTAACATGGGTACTCACTTTATAATTATTTGTGAAACTGTACATAAAAGTTGTATATACTGCCCGGCCAGTGTGACTCAGTGGTTGAACACTGATCCATGCACCAAGAGGTCGCCAGTTCAATTCCCAGTCAGGGCACATGCCCAGGTTGTGGGCCAACTCCCCAGTTGGGGACATGCAGGGGCGGCCAATCGATATTCTCTCTCATCGATGTTTCTCTCTCTCTCTCTCTCTCCCTTCCTCTCTCTCTAAAATCAATAAAGAAAAAAAAGTTGTATGTACTTTTCCACAAATAATGGGACTGACATCATCTGCCTGCTGATATGATACACAATATCATGTTCTAGATACTCTTGCCAAAAATCCTATAACCTGAATCCAATCTCAGGATACAATCAAATCCAATCCATGGACTTTCTACAAAACAAACTAATATCCTCAAAAATATGTCATAAAAGGTAAAGAAAAGCCACAAAACTATTCCATACTGAACGAAACTAAATAGAGTGCATAATCCTGAATTAGATTCTGGATCAAAGGGGGAAATGCTATAAAGAACACCATTGGGATAACTGGTTAAATTTAAATATGAACAACTGACATTACATCAACATTAAATTTTCTTATCTCAATAACTATACTACAGTTATGCAAGAAAATGTCCTTATTCTTAGGAGATACATTCTGAAGAATTTAGGAATGAAAGGTCACAATGTCTGCAACTTATTCTCAAGTGGGTCAGCAAAAATAATATGTATGTGTAGGTAAAGTAAATATGGCCAAAAAATAACAATTGATGAATCTAAGAAAAGGGTATATGCACTTGACTATCCTTGTAACATTTATCTTTTAAAGTATTTTCAGCCTGGCCGTATAGCTCAGTGAATTGAGCGTCGTCCCATGGACTGAGAGGTCCTGGTTTGATTCCTGGTCAGGGTACATGACCAGGTTGCCGGCTCAGTCCTTAGTAGGGGGCATGCAGGAGGCAGCTGATCGATGTTTCTCTCTCACATCAATGTCTCTATCTCTCTCTCCCTTTCTCTGTCTCTAAAAAATCAATAAAGACATTTAAAAATATATTTTCAAAATAAAAAGGTTTTAAAAATATACTAAAGAATTCAACAAGAAAGTAGTTGTCTGCAGGAAGGGCACAGGAATCAGATGACTGGGATAAAAGGATAAGATAAAGACTTCGTTTTGTTCATTCTTCCATCTTATTTGCATTTTTCAAATTTTGTTCATATTCCCCCAAAATTTCATTTTAACTTTGGGGGAGGGGGAGTCCTAGACCCAATGAAAGGAGAAACATTAGCAAATATAGAAATAAGCAAAAAGTTTATCCTTAAAATGCATCTGTCAAATCACAGCCATCATCAAACGGTTACTCTGGAACATCCATAGGTTAAGTGCTGCTCACATACACCGAGTAACCTCCCCCAGTCCAGCAGTTTGCACAGTAAGGGGCATAACTAAACAGGGGTGTTAACATTCTACTTCTAGAACAACCATACATGTTGTACATGTTTCACAGTTGTACATGTTTCACACCTTTGTTAGATAATCCAAAAAGTGGAGTACAGTTATCTCACTTTTGATATTTGGAGTAATTCAATCATTTTAACAAACATTGATGAAAGCCCTGGTGTGCAAAGCCCCGCAGATGACAAAGAGAGATGTGTATATTGTGGTCATTGTCCTCAAGAAGGCAGTGCAGCAAAGTGAAAAGGACTTGAGCCACACAGTAGCTATATGACCTTGGTAAGTTATTTGACCTCTCGCAGATTCTGTTTTCTCATAGGTGTGATGGAGATGCCACCCAACTATCTTTAAGGGCTGCATTGTAAGGACTGACTATATATGTCAAGCAAGTAGGACAAGACAAACTGAATAAAAGTAGCTATTTTTATGAGTATTACAATCTAATTCAATAATGAAATAGAAAATATAGCCAATTAAGGGTATAACTACCATTAAAATCCTAATTACTCCAAGTGTCTAATCCAAGTAAGTTCACTCTCCCTAAACACCAAATAATATATGCAACTGTTAGTGTGTGTGGACCAAGAATTGCTCCCTAACCTATCTCTGGCAAATGTATCACTCTCTCAGACACCAAGAAAAAGAACAATGGGTCATGAGGTTATCTTTTTTCTCATTAACCAAGAAGGATTTTAGGTCAAAAAGTGATACACTCAGCCTGCACAAGAGACTCTAACCTTATCTAGACCCTGTCATCCAGGAATACATATCCAAATTAGTCCAAAAGCAAAAGCCAGAGAAGGTGTTTCCTTCAAATAATATCCAACACTCTTTCACCAGCAAACAAAATTTACTAAATTAAATCCATTTCAAAGCTCTTCCAGTTTAGTAACAAAGATTTCCCTTATTATTATATCCCTTAATATGTTACATATATGTATATAAATAATCCCTTGTATTATTTTATAACCTAATTCTAAGCCTACCTCACTAGCAAGGTGACAATATTTCCTACTAAATAGTTGACTTCTAGGTATCTGTGAAAAGTACAAAGCAAAACCTAATTTTTACAATAAAGCTGTACTTCAAGCCTGTTATGGCAGGACTCTTAACTTAAATTGTTCACTGTGCTTATGATGGTGTGAGCACAAATAAAATGGAAAGACATTGAAACATACTTCAAGATAAATAACAGTTTAGAATAATCACATATTATCCCATGTGCATAGCTATCTCATACAATAAACAAACTTTCTGAATTGTAATCAAACATGCAAATACCTGAAAGAGTGCCACCTGTCCTAGGATAGGCCACTTCAACATACACTTCAAACGTGGTCTCTGGGTTTTGCCTACAAAAGAAACAAACCATGATTACTGATAAGGATTGAGGCAGCATGCTTATAGAACATGTAGGCTGTGGAACTTTGGACACGTTATTCAACTTCTCTGAACCATGCCTACCTAATTTATAAAATGAAAACACCTAACCAGAAAAATTATTGTGAAACTTAACACACACACACACACACACACACACACACACACAGTCTGGGTACAATGTCTGGCCAATAACTGGCTAGCCATTATTACACTTTTACAGATGTTACATCTCCAATTTACACAGCTGGATCTTCAAAACCACACATAGAATTCCGAGGAACTCAAAGTAAGGCAACACTAGCACAAAGTAGCCTCCCTCATATTCCAGGATAACACACTCATATAATGAAGTTAACTTGCTTATTTACAGGTTTTAAGACTGAAACAAGAGAAACAGTATCCTGTCTCACTAAGCTGTTATGAGACAGGATCCTAATCTAAATGTAAGACTATTCCCACACAGGGGGTTTCACCTGTATTAGCAATTGCAAGTATATGAATGTTCATTATTATATCTTTTTACCTTTTTATGTCATAAATATTTCATAATAAGTTTTTAAAAGATCACAGCACTAACAGAATGTTAACAGTTAATTCTAAGTGATGAGAACATCAGGGTTATATTTCTTTGCATTTTCTCTTTCTCTTTGATTCCAAAACTATAATAAAAAGATATTATTTCCAGATTGAATAAAAATCATTCAGCAGAAGAAATGTTATATATTCAAATGTCTAAAATGAATTCTATTTTAAACCTGACAACAAAGCTCAAAGAAGACACTTTCTGAATTTCCTAATCAGATCTAAGGCTTAATTTTGATCAAATAAATACTTTGAATTTACCCAGTAGATTCCAGTTTTCAAAATAACTACCTCATTTATTTCATTTCATTCTTATTATAATTCCAGGAAGCAGGTACATCAGGCATTATCATCACCATACAGGTGAGGAACCTGAGGCAAAGTTTCCAGAATTCACACCTCCTGTCACTCAAATTCTGTTTCATTGATTCTAAGATGAACTTTCCCCCCCATATTTTCGTATTTCTTACACTCTACTGCATCTTACAATTCTACACGGCAGCATTTTTCTTCTCTTTGACAATATATGTAATAACAGTGCATCTTATAAATAATAGCATCTTAGATTCAATAAAATATGGTAATACTCCATCAACATTCTTAGCAGTGGAAAGAAAAATGTATTTTGTCAATCAGGAATCTAGTTATTTCTCTTGTGAAGGATCATCATTTCTTCATTGAACAGAAACTTGGGCTTTTGCTTTAAATAAGTATCCACAGCTGAAAAGAGCTCTAAAATTCAAGGTATAAAATATAGCTTGTCAAATATAATTTAAAAATTAGACACGAAAGCAGAATATCTTACTTAAAAATCAAAATAAAACCAAGTGAACTGAAGTTTTAAAAGCCTTAAAAAATTTTTTGTGTGTGCTCTTTTTTCCCTGTCAGAGGGTATAAAAAGACCTACAGCCCTGGCCAGTTTGGCTCAGCAGTTAGATCGTTGGTCGACGGACCAGATAGTCCCAGATTTGGTCCCCACTAAGGGCACATTCCTCAGTTGCAGTTTGTCCCTGGCCCCGGTTGGGGTCATGTAGGTGGCAACCACTCAATGTGTCTCTCTCACATCGATGTTTCTCTCTCTTCCTCTCTTCTTCCCTCCTGCTCTATCTGAAGATAAATGTAAAAAAAAAGTCCGCAGGTGAGGATAAAAAAAAAAAAAAAGACCTACAAAGTCAGTATCCTTTAGCTACCAAATATTTGTGAAAAATACCATATAAAAACATCCTTTTATTCAAATGACCTCAAAGAACAGTGTTTGATGAAAGAAAGGAATGTTCTAAGGTCATCTGAAGAACACCAGGATAGTTCCTTCTAAAATCTAAATAAATCTTTCTTTAAAAATTGTTTTCTTTTTGTTTTTAGGGAGAGAGAGATGAAAATATTGATGGGAGAGAACATCAGCTGGTTGCCTCCTACATGCCCCCCACTGGGGATTTGGCCCACAACAACCTGGGCATGTGCCCTGACTGGGAATCAAACTGGTAACCTGTTGGTGTATGAGTCGACGCTCAACCACTGAGCCACACCAGCTGGAATAAATAAATATTTCTTAAATCTATTTTGCAACTAGCTGAATTTCATCTCAGAATTTCATTCCTCTAGATTAAGATAATGGTTTTCATGTGTGCTACAGGATCCTAGGACTCCATAAAGGTTCTTCAGAGCTTTCACACATTTTTTACCCAAATTTCCATTTTTATTTGTCCCCACTTAAAAAACTGAAACAACAAACATGAACATGGAAAGGTGTTATATATCAAATTTTAAACACTGGAGCTCCAACACATTAACCTGTGCCACTAAGTTAAGGTGATTGTGCAGACCTGCTGTGGCTCTAAGTGAAGAACACTGTCTATACTCATGGTCTCTGCTCCTTCTCCTTTCTCTCTTTACCAGATTTCAACCAGGCTTCTGAGCCCACGGTACCATTGAAACAACTTGTCATGATCTCCAATAACCTCCACGTTGTTAAAAGGTGCTAAAATAGTCCATTCTCAGTGCCTGTCTCACTTAACCTCTCAGCAGCATTTGCCACAGTTGATCAACTTGCCCTCCTCCTTGAAACACTTTCTTGCCTTCCAGGATATTACTCTCTTCTTAATACTATTCCTACTTTATTGGCTGCTCCTTTGCTAATTCCTTCTCAAGTAAGCTCTCCTACCCTGGAACTTAGTCCTGGACCTCTCCCTATCTACACTCATTACTTAGATGATCTCATTCAGTCCCAGGGCTTTAATTATGCAAATGATGACAAGCCCCAAAGTTATGGCTCCAATCTTACTTCCTCCTTGACTCTATATTCCCTTATCAAATTGCCTAATCAACATCACCACTTAGATATCTATGAAGCATTTCTAATTTAACAAATGGTGCTTTTCTTCCTCAAGCCTGCATCTCCTGAAATCCACCAGTTATTCAGACCACAAAAACTTGGTGTCATCCTTGACTCCCCTTTGTTTTATATACCACAATCATTTCCATTCCACAATCAGCCAATCAACAAATTCTGTTGACTTGATCATAATATATCCAGAATCTCAATGCTTCTCAGCATCCCCAGCCCCACGATGGTGACAGATCACCATTACCTCGCCTCTATTACTGTAGTACTCTCCTGAATGGTCTCCCTGTTTCTTTCCTTGCCCTCCTATAGTCAGATTTCAACTTAGTGGCCAGTAATCCTTTTATTCTAAAGGTCAGGTTATGTCAGTCCTCTGCTCAAAACCTCCCAAAAGCTTCTCATACCACTCAAAGTCAAATTCTTACTTCTAGAAATAGATGGGGTGATGGGTATACAACAATATGAGTGTATTTAATACCACTGAACTGTACACTTAAAAGTGATTAAGATGAAAAATCTTATCTATATTTTACTACAATTTCAAAAGAAACTGAGGAGGAAAAAAGTCCTCACAAGGTCCTACATGATGTGGTCTTTGACTATCTCTCCAACTTCATTTCATCCCTCTCTCCCCTTGCTCACTACATTCCAGCCACAATGGCCTTCTCTCTGCTCCCCAGACACACCAAACTCAGTCCTATCTTAAAGCCCTTTGTATTAATCTTCATATAGTAGCCCTTCCTGTTGTTCAAAACTTGACTTATACTTGACCTCCTCAGAAAGGCCTTCCTCAACACACTCTCTACCATTTAATTTTAATTCTCCACATCATACCTATCAGAATCTCTAGAGGTTTTACTATACCCTCTAAATTTAAACTGCAGAAGAGCAGAGACTTTGTCTATCTTACTCACTAGTGTTTCACTGAACAGTAGTACATGGCACATAGCCAGAATCAAATAAATACTGAGAAGAAATAAAGAGAGTACAAACTAGCCTTCCTGGGGTCTAAAAGATTTCAATAAATGATAGGAGTGATTATACACTTCCATGATTCTCAAGTTTTAACATGTTAAAAGACAGATTTCCAGCCCCACCTCCAGAGTTTCTGGGGTAAGTGCCAAGAATTAGCATATCTAACAAGTACCCAGGTAATACTTATGCTGCTGGACTACTAATCACACTTTCAGAACCACTGATCTACTCAAATGGAATTCTTCTTCCAAATAACTTAGTACATACAACATAAACATAGAGTATACCTCAATAATCAATAATTCAACAGTGCTTTTACAATAAAAGATTTCCCCAAAAAAAGGCATTGCAGCCCAGCCAGTGTGGCTCAGTGGTTAAGCATCAACCCATGCGCTACGAGGTCACCAGTTCAATTCCCAGTCAGGGCACATGTCCACGTTGTAGGCCCGATCCCCAGTGGGGGGCATACAGGAGGCGGCCAGTCAATGTTCTCTCTCATTGATGTTTCTATCTCTCTCTCCCTCTCCTTTTCTCTCTCTCCAAAATCAATAAAAGAAAAAAAGTGTTTTTAAAGAAAGAAAAAGGCATTGCAGAAGCAATGAAGCTTACTCTTCTTCTTCTATTGCTATCCATAGTTACTGCCTCACTCTGATGAGTAATAACAAGACTACATTAAGAGCAAATAGCTTATGCAGTTCAAATAGCTGCCAGAGTTCTATTAGATGGATCCAAAGATTGGCAATCTCTTTTAAAAGAGAAAAAGAAAATCTAAAAGCTGACTAAAACACTAAGAACACATTACACCATAATTATAAGTTATAGTCATGTTCATCCATGAGCATTTACATGTTGCCTTATGGAAGAAGTGGTGATTGATGTTGTGACAATTTATATAACATACTAACAAATACACATAAGTTATTTTAAGGGCCATTGAAGTCAATGCAAATGGAAGCATTTTCTGTTTTCCTGCAAATCAAAAAACAAATTTAAAAGTGTGTCCTCTAAATGCAAATGGCCAAGTGACTCTTAATATTTTCACTAAGCCTATAAACAATTAAGACTACAACA